TCCACATTACTCGTACCTACATTTCCTCTTTTCTCTTCTTTAAGCAATTTATTTAGCTGTTCTTCAATTTCACGCCACGCAAAGTCTATATCGTCTTCCTTCGGATCCATGCCACACACCGCAAAGCGCATAAAATTCTTGCCGCCAAATGCCGCCTGTACCATATAGATTTTCTTGCGTTCTGTCACACATTGCAGTAGATCTGTGGTCAACTGATTGTCACCCTTCACTCGAAAGCAGACCAAACCCATTGATCGTTTAGCCACCAACTCCAGGCGTGCGTCCGACAAGATATGTCGTTCAAAACGCTCTGCTAAGCGTATTTGTTTGCGCACATGCTCGCGCAAGCCTTCGGCACCGTAGATGCGAAATGTAACCCACACTTTTAGCGCGCGAAAGCGACGACCCAGCGGTATTTGCCAGTGTCGGAATTCCGGTATATCTGTCTGTCCGTTGTACTTGTTTTGCAGGTAAATACGATTCACATTAAAGCTGTCCACAACCTGATTTGCGTCGCGCAGCCACATTGCCGTGCAATCGAAATTCACCAGCAGTGTTTTGTGCAGATTATAGTTGAGTGAATCCACGCGCTCAAGCCCGCATCGCAGATACGCATACTCATCCAGCGACAAAACAGCGCCCGCATAAGCAGCATCGACGTGTAGCCAGATGTTGTGCTCCTCGCAAACAGACGCCAGTGTCGCGATATCATCGTAAGCGCAGGTGCCCGTCGCCCCCATCGTTGCAATGCAGATAGTGGGTATAAGCCCTTTAGCCAGGTCTTCTTTCACTGCTTTTACCAACTGCGCGCCGCCCATAATTTGATTATCATCGGCTGGCAACAGCCGTATGGGCAGAGTGGCTAGCACGCCGGCCTTCTCAATACAGCTATTGCTCTGATCGCTTGAATAGCCGATGAGGCGAGCCCGTATCTCACCTTCACTCAAATCTGGTTGTTTGGCTTTCACGCGACGTACGGTTTGCTCGCGTGCCGCCATGACGGCGACAAGCACAGCCTCACTTGCGGATCCCTGTATAATGCCGCCACCAGGCCCTTTGGTAGAGTGTAGAAAGTGTTCGGGTAGTTTGAGAAATTTCGCCAACCAGTCCATGACGATCACCTCCAGTTCCGTACAAGCTGGACTACAGAGCTTTAAAATAAAGTTTGGTAAGGAATCGTTTGCATATTTTGGTTTTACGCAGTTAGACTTACCCAATTAAAACCGATTACGCTAAAGCC